GAATCTCTCTCAATTTGTATTGGTCTGATGTTTTCCCGATGATTAGATTTGATTTTCTGGTTTGGGGAAAGAATACCACAAAGTGAATTTGGATTTGATTTTAAACTTTCATTGTTATTTGTATTTTTGCTGTATTTTTATAAGAATACACTTCATTAGTATAAAGAAATTCTATTTTGTTCATATGTTATAACAGTTTAGTTTATGATTGGATGTTGAATTTTATTTAATTATTTTTTCTTCTGGGATCATCATTTCCCTTTAATATAGTGACTTAACATTAACAAATGTTCTTATGTTTTAACCTGATACTCCTAGAATGAATACAATTGATCATGAAGGTTTTTTTTAATTAAATTACTAGATCTAATTTGGTAATATTTTGTTTAGAATCTGTACATCTACATTCCTGAGACTGAATCATAATTTTTCTTCCTAATACTGTCCTTGGCTCATTTTATATCCAACTTCATCAGATGCATTGAGATGATTCCCTTTTGTTTCTCCTATTTTTTCAGTTATCTTTTTCAGAAAATGTACATAAAATATATTGAACATTTTAAGTAATAAGAGTACTCCCATCACTACCATGCAACTTTTTCAATAGTGTCTCTGGTAACCCACTAGTAATGTGCAATCAAATCTTATATTTCAGCAGTGTTAGAATTATTTTCTGTCTCTGCTTATGGCACAACCCAATGCCTAACAAGGTTCATCTATTCAATTTTGCTTTTTACATTTTTGGATTTATTATTTAATTTTGTTTTACAATTTTATAAAATATTTACAGTTTCAATGTCAGATCTACAAAATAGCATATATTCTTAGATATCTGGCTTCCATTCTTGTCCCCTCCCACTGCTTTCATTCCCTCCAACAAAGGAAATAGCTTATAAACTTTATGGTTTATACTTTAATTGTTTGTATTCAATGTGAACGTTTCTGTATATATTCTTCATGAATTCCCTTCCTTATATAAATGGTAGCATACCATAGATAGAGTTTATTCCACCTTGCTATTTCACTTTGAAAGAATATGTCATGGAGATCACTCCATAGGAATATATAGATGCTTCTCATTTCTTCATATAGTTGCATAGAACTCTGTTGTACTTCTATACTACAATGAGTTCAAGTGATACCATGCTGGTGGCTATTTAGATTAGTTCTACTCATTTGCTCTTACAAAGAGTTCTGTGATGGTGTGATACCCTCTGTATAAATATTTTCAGATTCTTTCCAGAGAGTATATGTTTGGGTTCGTACAACTGGGATTGCTGGTTCAAAGGATAAATTTTGCTACAAACTGACAAATACCTGTTTCTGGTGGTTGTATCATTTTTATTTGCTAACCTGGCTGTGTGAGAGAGACTTATTTACCTATAGTCTTTCAACAAGCTACATTATCAAACTTTCTTTTTTGCCAAAGCATACTTTGAATTTGTTCCACAATTTAACAATCACTGATTTTAATCTTTTCCTAATCACCTTCCCTTTACCTTCCTATATCACTTTTCAATTTCTAAATCTTCTTTATCTCTTAAATTGCACCATCATATCAGAACTTTATATTCTATTCACATTTATAGACATTGTCATTGTAATTCTTCCTTTTTTATTCTAAGTTTTGTGTCTTCCAAGAAAAAAAGTGAATGTTTTTATTTGTATTTTCTTTCAGAATATAAATCTAGGTGTGAGAACAAGAAATTATTTCTGAAAGAGGAAAATTATGAAACAGATTCATCACAATGGGTTATAATGGAAGAATTTACGAAGCATGGACTTAAAAAGGGATCTCAGGAAAGATATTTTAGCCAAATGTCATTTACCGCTGAAGACATGCCCACTTCCTTTCAGCATACACTTTTTTCTCTACATGAAACATTTAATACTAAAGAGAAGTCTTGTGAATGCGAAAAACATAAAAATGCCTGTGGACAAGACTCACAACTTAGTACTTATCAAGAAAGTCAAACTGGCAAGAAAAAAAAAATTCTGACTATAAAGAATATAGGGAGGCCCTTAGTAGGACTTCAAAACTTAGTTTATATCATATAGTGCCTATTGGTATGAGACCCTATGAATGTGGAGACTGTGGGAAGTATCTGAATAGTGGCTCAGACTTTATACAACATAACCAATCCCATTTCTCAGCTTTTTTGACATCTTTACCCTGCAATGTCCAATACCTTAGCCAGTAACCCACATGCAGCTATTTAAATTTAGATTTAAAATAAATAAAATTTAAAATTCATTTCCTCTGCCTCATTAGACACGTTTCAAGCACTCAGTAACTACCTGTGGCCAGTGGCCATTGTATTGGACAATGTATTATAGACCACTTCCAAAATTGCAAAAAAATTACATCACACAGGCTTATTGAAAAAAGCTGTATTTTATCATCCTTTTAAACTATGAGAGAGACCAATCTGAAGTTGCCTTGGTAGAAAATTAACATACAGAAATCAATTAACTCATGTGCAAATAGTCTTAAGAAATAGAAGTTTCAATAGAAAAAAAATTCTTTTACTTAAGTAGTCACAAAAAATTTGAGTTATCACAAATAAAATTAAATAGAAATATCCATGACCAATATGGAAAAATAATTTAAAATTTCTAAAGCACTCACAAGATGAAAAAGTGAGAGAATATAACATGTTCTGAAATTGCAGTGCTAACATCATCAAGATATCACAGTTCCTTAGGTTATAAATGTGATGCACTCTCAATTAAAACTACTCAAGAATTTTTTAAACATATGAGCTAATTCTAAAGTCTATGGAGAAAAATAAAAAGACCAGAAAAACCAGTAAAATTCTGAAAAAGAATAATAAAAATTGGTTAATTAGAACTATTAGACATTAAGGTATATTTCAGTTCTACAATAATCAAGAGTCTAGCTCTAGCAAAAAGATAATGGATGACTAGAACTAAAATTCCAGCTATATATCCAAACAGATAGGAAAGGTAGTATATGGTAATGAAGGCATTTTTGATAATTTAATACCTTTCTGAATTGTTATAAATCTTGAGCATTTGGATGTATTATTTCATATATATATCATTTTACATATAGATTTTCAACAAATGTTTTTAGTAGCCATGTGGCAAAGATAAGACAAATTTGTATACATATTTTTTCAAACAGTCTGAAAACATCACTCCATAGCTTACTCAATAGTAAAAAAAAAAAAAAAAGTAGAAAAGATAGCTTTACAGTGGATAGGGCTGTTGACCACAAGCTTAAGGAAGTAAATTAATGCAACAAATGGGATAAAGTGACATTATGTGGCTCCTGATGTGATGCATTAAGGACACTATCACCCATGGAGTATTCTTGTCAAAAATATTTAGCCTGGAACATGGGGAATTTTTTTAAATGTTTAGAAGGACATTTGGGGGGAGAAAAGCAGTCTGGACACCAAAAATATGGCTTTGAAGTACAAGAAAGCTGTGAACTGTTCCAAATCAAAGAAGAATAATGATATATGACAACTAAAATAGTGAATGATCTTTGTATTTTGGATTTAAAAAGCTTTAGAAATTGTTGGGATATTTGGGAGAAATCTGAATATGTACTATATATTAGATCATAATATTGTAATTGTTAAATTTCCTGAGAATTTATTGTGGTTATATTAGAGAATGTATTGGTTCACAGGACTTGTGTAAAACATGGACATATCTGTAAAACAGATTATCCATTAAATGGCTTAATATAATAGGGTAGCCATACAGAGGAGATTTCAAAAAAAAATAGAATCCTAATGCACAGCTCAAAACAAAATTAAATGCAAATAGATCAAAGATGTAGACTAAGAATTATAAAATGTAAGACTAAACCATAAAATCTTAGAGAAAAACATGGAGGAAAATAATAAGGTTAAAGTAACACAAAACCATATAGGAAAACCATTGTAGAAAAAATGTATTTGTCTACTTTTATATGGCAAACTGGAAACACTATTGAAAGTCAAAATATAAATCCCAAACTGGAGACTTTAAAAATTGAAAATAGTCAGTATTACTTAATAACAAAAATAGGCAATACAAATCATTAAGAGAAAATATAAACAATGACCTAATAGAAAATGAGCAAGTATGAAAAAATATATCACAGAAACTGCAAAGAAGTTTTTACCCCTTTGGAAATTTTTACTCCCATCTCAATAAGATATATATAATTTAGAAATGCAATATCCATCCACCAGATTGACAAAGTAAGGAAATTGTGTATCTAATTTACATGTTGATAGTGGACAGCTGAATTGATAAAACCTAAAGGAAGGCAGTAGCAAAATACTTATCAAAAGAAAACTCAGGTATTCATTTCTCTAGAATTTGTGGAGGAATTTATGTAACAGATTTCCCCAGACATATCCACAAAGAATATAATTTATGGCACCAGCCTAACAGCAAAAGACTAGGGGAGAGGAGTCAGTTACAGTTATAAATTGGTTAAATTATCATACATCTATTTATTTAATGGAAATGTACAGCAAATTAAAAGAACAAGGTATCTATATAGTAATATGAAAGTTACAAACAATATTTTGTGTGTATAACAAGCTAATATATATTTTTATTTTAATCCCCTACCCCTCCAACAAGCTAATATTTTTGTTTAAAATGTATCATATTTATCTGTATATATGAACTCAGGCACATGCATAGAAATAAACTGACACGCACCTATTGTCACGGTGGTGTGAACGAAAAATACTTCAAGCCATGTCAGTAAACAAGGAATGATGAAGCCATTAAGTTATCAGCAGCTGCTGCCACCCCTCAGTGAAGACAAGCCTGCAGCCCAGCCTCTGCAGCCACTCACAACTGTGCACTCTGAGGGGACTCAGAATAAGAAAAGACAGGATACTGGCCCTAGATAGCTAGATGCTTGTCAAAGGAATAAATTCAATAAGCCCAAATATTTGCTTCCTCCCATACATAGAAAATCGCTAAATTCTTTAACTTGAGATATCTGGTTTTCTTCAGTTAACAAATATTCTTTTAACGTTCTGACTACCTGGTCTTTGTTGTAAAACTCCAATATATCCTAGCTCCTCCCCTATCTCTTTGGAGCAGTCCCTCAGAGTCATCTGAGAGGCTATTATCCCGGGCTGAGTCCTCAGAATTATCCACCGAGTAAAACATAATTCTCAGCTTTTAGGTTGTGCATTTATTTCAGTTGACAGTGGAAAGGTGGTGAATGCCCTGGTTGCTTGGAGAGTATGAGGTGTCTGGAGATGAGGATGCAAGGTGTTCATTTTTTTCTCCTTATAGCACTTTTTAAAAATTTTTATTTAGCATATGCAAAAATTAGTCAATTTTATACCCCAAGCAGAAATTTTAAATTGTTAAAAAATCAATCTTAGGCCGCACTCCATTTCTAGTTTTAACTGTCACTAAACTTTTATTAGCCTGTATTCTAAAGTTTTCTGAACAGAGGAATGACTTCTCAGATGGGACCGACTGAGCCAAGGGCATTGCCAACTATCCAACACACAGGCATTGAGCAATATTAGCTGCTGAGTAACAAGAGCGGAGCCGGGATATCAACCCACCCCACGGGGCCGGTTCACCAAAGAGGCCAGCGTGGTCTCGCACAGGCGGTGTAGGCAGGGTGGCGCTGTCTAGGGCGGTGAAGGATGGGCTCAAAGGATTCTGGGGATTGTAGTTCAAACGTCGCGAAGCTTCCAACTGCGCTGGCGCAGAAGCAGTTTGGCCGGCTCCGCTTTGTCTACAGCGTCGTTAGTACAGTTCCCTGAGGCGTCTTATCTACTCCAATCCCTACTTGGCACGACGAAGCGGCCCTCTTAGGGTTGAAAGGCTCGCGGTGTGGGAGTGACTTCGGGCCAGACCCAAATGGGCATAAGCACTACCCTGCGACTGGAGACCTTACATCCGGTAAACTTTCTGTATATCTGTCGCCGTGGTCTTAGCGAGTTGGGCTTGGTTATCAGCGAGCAGCGCCTTTAACACCGGGAGAGTGATTTATATGTGGGCACTTCCAGGGCTGACTGATCAGCTGTGCTCAGGGGAGAGGTGGCCTCCCTGAGGACAGCAGTGCCCCGGATCTTTGGTCTGGGGCCGGAATTTGGGCGCGTCTTCGGGTCAGGGTCTTAAATGAGGCGAGTCTTAATGCTGTAGGTGTAGTCTCACCGGAGTCCTGCTCCACAGGTGTAGCGCGGACACAGGGACGCTCAGAAATAAGGTGGCCGGGAATAGGGGCGTCGCGTCCGCGTCTCCAGACGCGGTCAGCCGTCCAGAGGTCATTCTGCTGCAGCTGGAGCCCCGGGTCTCTGGTTTAGGGAAGGGATAGGATTTGTCCGGTCTCCCTCCCATTCCTGTCTGTGTCCATGTGAAATGGAAAGAGGGGACAGTAAGATAAAGGACTGCCGTTTGAACGGGGTTGTTCTGGAAACTGGGAGGCCGGCGCTGCTCTGCCTGGCCTGCAGGCTCAGGACTCTGCCCTTTTTCAGAAGAGGAGCCCTGAGGATCGCGCATTCCCTGAAAAGACTGAAAGCCATGACCCAGGTGAGGTGATGCTTCCTGAGACACATGAGCCTTTGCCTTCTTTATCTTGACCTGTCCTGGGCAGGAGCATCTCTTCCAGGGCCTCTTAACTATTCATTTCCTTTCATTCCATCCGCTTAGTTCTGTTGCCTTGGTACCCCCAGTTGCCAGGTGTCCACAACTTTTTTTCTGTAAATCGTTATCTTTTTCCCTGTGGGATCAGGAATGTTGGCAAAGCAAAAGTGCACAGGGAGGAAAATGTGGGCATTCTTTGCCAAATGGACCTGTTTTACACAGACTGTGATGTGATGAGGTCAAGCTGAGAACCTGAGTGGGAGCTCACATCTGGAAAGTCATGATCATCTCCACAGACTGAGGCTTCCTAGTAAGGCAAGATGGGAGATGTAGTTGGTGGGTCCAATTTGACTTAAGTCTTTTTTTTTAATAGAAAAAATTTTAATTCTTTTGTTTTTAATGGAAGTGCTGGGAATTGAACCCAGGACCTCCTGCGTGCTAAGCAGGCACTCTACCACTGAGCTATCCCCTTCTCTCTCTTTTTTTTTTATTTATTTTTTAAATTGAGTTGTAGTCAGTTTACAATGTTGTGTCAGTATCCCCTTCCCTCTTGACCTCAGTCTTTTTGTGAATTTTGATCCTTCTCCAGCAGATTTTGACAATTCAGGAACCAGGAACATTTATTACAGTTTAGTGGTGCCTGGCTGCAGGTTGGATCATCCCAGAGCATAAGTTGCTTGAGAATTTTAGAGCCCAGACAGACCTTAAAGTTCTTATTAATGAACAAAATGAGAAGAAAGACTAAGTCAGTGACTCCAAATGACGTATAATAGTGCTTCTAATCAAAATGATGTTTATTAAAGAATTTTCAGAAAAAGAACAAATCCCTTTATATTACTATGTGGTATAAGAATCAACCTATGTCTTGAAAATTTTCTTAACTTATATGACAATTCTATTTATTAAAAAGAGATTTTCAAACTCATACCAAAATTTAAGTATTAATGATTCAAACTGAAATATGATGCTTCTCATTAAAGTAGCAGGGCCTTGCCATATCACCTGGTTCCTGTCTCGAGACAGTTATCTTCAACTAACTGCCTTCAGTATTTATCCCTGAGTGTTTCCAATTATTCTCATTTTGCTGTTTGTGGAATAATCATGTTTAGTCATCATTCCTTGGCTTCCCTGTGTGTTGGAATGGAAACTTAGCTTTTTCCTACACTTTCCCCAAAATGTTTATAACATGATTTTTAGTTAACTTTATCATGTGTGTGTCATTACTAATATGTAAATATTGTAGCCTGGTTATACTACAAATAGTCTACTAAGCAGACTTATGATTTCTAATGTAATTTTTTTTCCTGGACTAATTAGCTTTTAAACTTATTTGTTCAGTTTTCCACGTTTGTATTGCTAATCCATCAAAGTGTACAAACATCACTGTCACATGACTATCAATAACACTTTCCATATTGTCACAAGCATCAATCATTTATTTCTTCAATACCTTCTTCTGGCTTCCTTTGTTTTACTGCTCCTGTCTCCATTAGTTGTTCTTCCCACTTGCTACCCAGCTGTCATCCTGGCACTTTTCTTTCACAGTTGCATTGGAACCTTTTGTCCTCTTTCTCTTGTGACCCTTATTTACCCTTATCTAGGTACCTGGTATACCTCTTTCATGGCTTGCTCTGTAGCTTTTACGGAGCACAACCAGTTCTAAGCAAAGATGCTTAGAAATAGGAGGTGAATATTTCAAGCTCTTGCTAGTCCAGACTCTAAACTGGTTCTCAACCAGGGACAATTTTGCCCCTCCCTCATCCCCCGCCAGGGGTGGATATTTGGCAATGTCTAGAGATATTTTTGGTTGTCATAGCTGGGAGAGGGGAGTAATACTGGCATCTAGTCGAGAAGAGGTCAGCGTTGGTGCTGTATATCCAACAAACAATCCATAGAACAGCTCCCAAGCCCTGCAAAAAAGAATGTCAGCCCCAAATGTCAACATTGCCATGGTGAGAAACTCTCCTCTAGGCATGTCTTTACAGTGTTTTCTTGATTCCAACAGTGATGTTTAGAAATCCATTGCATTTCTGATTCTTGATACTTAATATGACCTGTTTTCTTTGTCTTAATTTTTTAAAAGGATCTTCTCTTTATTCCTTTTATTCTCAAATTTTATTCCTGGAAAATTTGTAGAGTTGATCTCTTTTTCTTCCTTAGGGTTAAGAGTAGGAGGAGGGAACTGTCAATTACTGACAATTAATTATATGCCAGGTGTTAGTAGGCTAGAGGATGACTTATACTATTTCAAATAATAGAGAAACTCCACTCAGCTAGCCCTTGTACCTCCCAGACGTGGTTGGATACTGAAAATATCCTGCCACGAACAGATAGCTTGACCTATCTTCAGGAAATGGAATGTTTGAAGACATAAATCATACCGACTTCCGGGCCTCCAGGACCAGCCTGTTCTGTGTGTCACTTCCTATAAACACTCTTTATCACCTGTATTTTTACCTTTTTCTTATTTCCTCCCATCTTAAAAGCATTTGTTTTTATTATAGCATTCATACATGGATTTATTGTTTCAGGGATTGGTGTTATTCAAGGATGTGTCTATACACTTTTCTCAGGAGGAGTGGGAATGCCTGGATTCTGATCAGAGGGATCTGTACAGAAATGTGATTTTGGAAAACTATAACAACCTGATCTCTGTTGGTAAGCATACCTATCTCTAAAAGTTCAGTTTTCCCTCTGGAATATTTGCTTCTCCCATTGATAATTTCTCAGCTCCTTTCAAATATTCTGTACATTTCCTTTCCCTGTTCCCAAGGAAAAGGCTTGAGCTTTGAAGAGTTGAAAATGTGCAGCTCTGTTGGGGCTGAGGCTGAAGCTTCATCTCCTCTAAATAGTGACCTCTCCTCTTTGATTTTGAATTCTGAGCCTCCCATAGCAATACTGTGTACCATTTCTCTTGGGAGCAGGACTCTCCATTCCTAAGCCAGATGTGGTGTCCTTATTGGAGGAAGGGGAAGATCCCTGGATGGTTGACAGAGAGCTGACAAGGGACTTGCTTCCAGGTAAGTGAGGGATGATCAGGCAAGGAGAGGGCATTGAAGGATGTAACCCAGCTGCTTATGGAGGAAACAACACTGAGATGTTTTCTGGGAAGTTTCCATCCATAGTCAAAACCTGTAGAGGAAAGTAAGACCTCTGCACCAAACTGTCCAAATGTCACTACCTCTACCTCCCACAGACCGTGTTTCCTTCCCATTTCGAAGTGGGAAGTACAACCCTTATTCCTCTTCAGTGACCAATTTCTACCTTTATTTTGAATATAGTCTTATACAATTTCTTATTTTCTTTTGCATTTAGATTTAAGTGTCACTTTCTCTTAAATTTTTGGAGACTTTTCTTCCCTGAACCAGTTTACTTTTCAATTCATTATTTTACTCATTTATTCTTCCAACCAACAGTTAATAATTTTATAATTGGTACAAGATGTTAACTAGATGATGGCAAGATGATAAGATTTTAAGCTACTAACAAATTTATAGACAAAGAAACCTAGGAATGAGTCCATAAATAATTTTTTTAAAAGTAGAATCAATTACAAGAGGAGCTCGATAGGGCAGTCAGAAGAAAGGGCTAAAGATGGAAAAGTGGGGAGCTCATCTCTTATCCATTTGGGATGCAATAACAAAGTGTCAGAGACTTTGTGGCTTACAAACAACAAAAACTTACTTCTTGCAGTTCTGGAAGCTGGGAAGTTCAAAATCAAGGCATCAGAAGATTTAGTGTATGGTGAGAGCCCACTTCCTCATAGTTTATCATCTTCTCTCTATAACTTCACATGGAAGAAGGGGAATTTCTCTGGGCTTCTTTTTATAAGGGCACTAATCCCACTCAGGAGGGCTCTGCCCTCATGACCTAATTACCTCCTGAAAGCCCCATCTCCTAATACTATCACCTTAGGGGTTAGAATTTCAAAATCCGAATTTTGGAGGGACATAAACATTCAGTCCATTGCAGCCCCACAGAAGTATAATAGTTGGAGCATTGGGAGTGATTGTGGTCACCCCTCTATAGAGTATTGGGGATAAAAGGCATGTGCCTGAAATCCAAAGACAGAGGTCGCAGGTAAGAAGAGATTGGAGTGAAGGGGGAGAACCAGACAGGTGCACTCTTTCATTCAACTAACATGTGTTAGATAGTGTAATCCATGTGGTTATCTGGGAAGAGGGAATTTCAGGCAAAAAGGCGTAACAGATACAAAGGCCATAAAGCAGGAACAGAAGTACTATGTTTGAGGAACAGCAAAGTGTCCAGTGTGGCTCAGACAGTGAGGGAAGGGAAGAAACATGTGAAATGTGATTAGAGCTGATTTTGAAATGGGTCAGATTATGTCATGGCTTTTAAAACATGATGAAGTCCTTATTCTGACTAAAATGTGACATATATAAAAGGTTTTAATTACTGACTCACACGTAAAAGGATTACCCTAGATGCTGGGTAATGAAAAGGTTGGAGGTACAAGGTGGAAACAGGGAGGCCAAAGAAATGCTTTTTCCAGTGTCTAGGGGAGCAATGTATTAATAGTTTAATTGATGAAAAGTGATCAGATAGCAGAGCCAGAAATTCTGTTGACTTTGCTGATACTTTGATTGTTGGGTGTAAGAAAAAGGGAAGAGCTGAGAATGACTCCAAGTTTTCTGGGGTGACTAGTGGAAAAATTGAGTTCACTTTTTTTTTTTAAAGATGTGGCATACAAAGCAAAAATAAGGTTAATTGAAGAGTTTGGTTTTGCACGTGCTATGTTTAAGGTGGTTGTCAGACATCCAAATGTGAAAGTTAATGAGTTGTTTAAGCTTAGGTTTCTGATTTTTCAAAAGGAGTACAGCTGGAGAGAAAATACAAAAGGCATGGGTGTATATATCATATTTGAAGCTGTGTGTTAAAATGCATGGTAGAGAGTGAGTACATGCTAATTGGCATAAAGAAGAGAGTGATTTTATTACATCCCCATGAGGAATGTGTACTCTTAAAAAACATCTTTTGATCTATATTTAGATAAAATTACACTTTTCTGGTTAGTTTTCCAGCTTTTGCCTTTTGAGCATTTCAAATCTCTAGATAAGTTCAAAGAATGGTAAGACGACATATTTTTAAAAACTTTATTTTTTAAAAATAGCTTTATTAGAGCTATAGTTTATATATAATAAAGTGTGCCCTTTTACCATATACAATTAGATGGCTATTAGTGTATTTACAAAGTTGTTGCATAATCTAACTTTAGAACATTTACTTCATCCCCCAAAGAAAACTTGTGCCCATAGGTTGCCAATATAAATGGCATAATGCAATATGTGGTCTTTGTGTTTGACTGTTTCACATAATGTCTTGAGGTTCACGTGTTGTAGCACGTATCACTAGTTCCTTTTTATGGCCAAAGAAATTCCATCATTGTTTATCCATTCATCAATTTATAGAAAGATTATTTTCACATTTGGGCTGTTACGAATAACGATGCTGTGAACATTCAAGAACAAGTTTCTGTATGATTATAGTTGACCCTTGAACAATGTGGGGGTTAATCCAAGTGTGGCCCTCCCTATCCATGGATTCAACCAACCATGGACTGTGTAGTACTGTAGTAATTACTGTTGAAAAATATCCATGTATAAGTGGACCTGCACAATTCAAACCCACCTTGTTCAAGGGTCAAATGTATATGTTTTCAGTTCCCTTGAGTATATACCTAGGAATGAAATTTTCTGAGTCATATGGTAACCCAATGTTTAACTTTGTGAGGAACTGCCAAACTATTCTCAGGTTTTTTGCACATTTTAAAATTGGGTTGTTTGTTTTTTTGTTGTGGAGTTGTAGGAGTTCTTATGTATTTTGGATATTAATCCTTTATCAGATACATGATTTGTAGATCTTTTCTCCCACTCTGTGGGTTGCCCTTTCACGCTATTGATATATAAGGTTGAATTCCAGATGAGTTTTAGATTTGAATATAAAAAAATGAATGGAAATTCACATAAGCACATAAGGAGATGCTCAGCTTTGCTCATTAAAGAAAAATGCTAGTTAAAACCACAATGAGAAACCTCTCAAACTGGCAAAGATCCCAGAGTTTGATGGTGTACTGTGCTTGAGAAGTGGTGGGGAAATAGGCACTAAAATGTTGTGTGAGTGAATGTATGTCTTTATAGGAGAGGAATTTGGCAATGTCCAGGAAATGCCAGATGAATTTTACCCATTAGTCAGTTATCTCACTCCTAGTAATTCATTCCAAAAATAAGCAAGCAAAATTTCAAAAGATAAATGCAATGAAACTTCTGTCTTTTTAAATAAATCTGTTGATTTTTCATCTTATTAACTTTTAGAATACTCCCACCATTTGTTGTTTTCTGGCAGATAATAGGCTTGTCGGTTTTTTCTTGCTTTACAATGGTTTGATCTTTTGCTTCTTTTTCTTTTAGTTTTTGTCTTAGTCTTACTTCAGTGTCTGTAATTTCCAGTAAATGTTAAAGAAAAGTGGGGATAGTAGGTCCATCTTTTTTTGTTGGTTTTTTTAGAGCTTGACTTCATAGTTGTGTGTTTTTGTCATATGTATCATATTTTGTCATATGTATCTGTAAATCTCATTAAAATGTCCCAACCACCTTATCATCCAATATGACTTCCCATCATTTCTTGTACTTTGTCTATTTATCAAATTCCACCAGTATATTTGATCACTGTATAAGTCATTCACATTCATATACATTAGTTTCAGTTTAATTCCCCTATTTATACCATAAAAGTTTCATTTTTTCCAGGAAAAAAAGTTGAATGTTCTCTTTTATGCTTTCTTTCAGACTGTGGATCTAGGTGTGAAACCAAGGAATTATCGCTGAAGAAGGAAGTTTATGAAGTAGAATCGCCTCAGTGGTTTATATTGGGACATCTTTCAAAACATGGACTTGAATGTTCCTGTTACACAGGTGATTGGGAATGTAAAAGAAAGACTGAGAAAAAACAAGGATCTCATGAAACAAATTTTGATAATCAAGTTATTTTCAACTATGAAAATATGCACACTTTCAGTCAGCACACATCTCTTACTCTAAATCAAAAGACTGATATTGAAGAGGAAGCCTGTGAATGCAAGGACTATGAGAAAGCTTTTGTACATGACTTGCAACTAACTGCACCTCAGAAAATTGATACTGACAAGAAATTCAATAACTATAAGGAAAATGGGAAGGCCGTTAGTAGAGTTTCAGAACATACTCAGCATCAGATCTTGCATCCTGGTGAAACCTGTGAACATATGGAGTGTGGTAGGGCCTTAGACTGTGTACAACATCAGAGCATTCATACTGAGGAGAAGATCTATGAGTGGAAAGAATGTGGAAAAGCCTTTAGTACTGGTTCAATATTTAAATCACATCAGAGAATTCACACGTGTGAGAAACCCTGTCTAACTGAGGAAGGTGGGAAAGTTTTTCATCATTCCTCAGAACTTACTTATGACCAGCGACTTCACACCAGTGAGAAACGCTATCAATGTAAGTTATGTGGAAAAGCCTTTAGTAGTAAATCAGGCACTATTCTGCATCAGAGAATTCACACCGGTGAGAAACCATATATATGTAAGGAATGTGGAAAAGCCTTTCGTAGCAGTTCAATACTCATAGAACATCAAAGAATTCACACAGGTGAGAAACCTTATCTATGTAAAGACTGTGGCAAAGCCTTTCACTATTCCTCAGATCTTAAAAGACACCAGAGAATCCATACTGGTGAAAAACCCTATGAATGTAAGGAATGTGGCAAGGCCTTTAAAAGTGCATCATATTTTTTTATACATCATAGAATTCATACTGGTGAGAAACCTTATGAGTGTAAAAATTGTGCTAAGGCATTTAGAAGTAGTTCAGCCCTTAATCGACACCAGAGGGTCCATACCGGTGAAAAACCCTTTGTATGTAAGGATTGTGGAAAGGCCTTTTGTAGCAGTTCAAAACTTATAGAACATCAGAGAATTCACACAGGCGAGAAGCCCTACATTTGTATGGCATGTGGAAAGACCTTTCGTAACAGCTCTATACTTACAGAACATCAGAGAATTCACACTGGTGAGAAACCATATGTGTGTAAAGAATGTGGAAAGGCTTTTTATCACCCTTCGGGCCTTAGCCAACATTGGGGAATTCATATGGGTGAGAAACCCTATGAGTGTAAGGATTGCGGGAAAACCTTTAGTAGTAGCTCAGCCTTCATCCGGCATCAGAGAGTTCATACTGGTGAGAAGCCCTTTGAATGTAAGGAATGCAGAAAGGCCTTTCATCGTTCTTCAGAACTTTCTCAACATCAGAGAATTCATAACGGTGAGAAACTCTATGAATGTAATGAATGTGGGAAAGTTTTTGTACGTAGTTCAAATCTTAATCAACATCAGAAAGGTCATGCAGGTAAGAAACTCTGAAAGGTATCTGTGGGAGAGGCATTCAAGTATGAATTTTACCTAATTTGAGATAGGAGTTCCTGCTGATGAGATATCCCATAATTAATATGAAGAGGCTTTTATTTGCTTTTCACAACCTAAATGCTTAAGAATACAGCAAATGTCAGAAGACCTTCATCAACAGTTCATTCCTTACTTAATATCAGAATTTATAACTGTGAATGAGGAAAATGCAAACTTTTTTTTGCAGATCAACCTTCAACATGAGAGAATTTATTAAGGAATAGCGCTGGGATTTCATTTTATTTTTCCTAATTTAATTCTAAGGTATTTTAGTCCTATGTATATTTACTGATCGTTAAAATTAATTTACTATCACTATTAATTAATTTAATTTTTAGTTGTGCATTACAGTTCTGAGTTGACTTCTTTTTCTCCAAGATTCTGAACCCATCACTACTTATTCTTTCTAGTTGCTTTTTCTACTGGTTTGTTGATATATTCTTATTTATATAAGCTTAAGTTTCAGGGAAACAATTGAAGTATCATTCATATGTATGTGTGTGTATATGTATATACATATATGTCTGTAATTGTATCTGTACCTCTTTGTCTTAATTATTTTACTTTTAATATAACAATATAAATAGAACTGTACAACTTTTTTGAAGAGAGTTCCTTTGAATATTAATATTTTACTGGAGGATAATTTTTTTCAGAGGAATTCAAAGGGCACAAAAGAAATCTTTAATTCTATCAACCATTTTAATAACCACTCTCAAATTGTCAAATCCTTTCAGAAAAATTTTAAAGAAAATATATTTCATAAATCCTATGACAGACTACATCATGAACAGTTTTCTAAGTCAGTAAATACATCATTATCCTTACTTGAATTGAGTTAGTGCTTATCTCGTGGCCCCATTATTGTTTTACTAATCTATTGATAAAACATATCTACATTCTAAATTTTGCTTTTATAAACAGTGCTCCTTTCAACATCCTGTTTTCACATTTTGTGTACTTGTCTGTTTATTTTTTATTTCTGAAGTAATCCATGAGTGCCTTAAACTTAAAACATTTTTAAACATTACAGATAAGCTAAACGCCCTTTTGATTATTTCCCTGACCCTAGTTTCTCCCCTAAATTTACCAATGATGGCAGTTTCATTCAAGAGCCTTTTATCTTCTTTTTCATTAAAGGTTATTACAAGATATTGAATATAGTTCCCTGTGTTATACAGACATATATATAAGTATATATGTTTGTATATAATTATAATCTGTAGAAATGTAATATTGCTTTCAATCTTATGTATTATATTTCAAGCATGGCAAAATGGAGGTGACTATAGTAACTGCCATAGGAGTGTATTGAAGATTACATGGGTTATGAACTCATGTATGTAACTGGTGACTTGTTCAGTAAATGTTGGCAACTGTTATGTTCATCCGTTTTATTTATGGAATGGCGTTTAACCACGATATATACTTTACACAATAATAAGACACTTCATATTGGAAAAAACCCTTAAAGCCAAAATTAAATAAAGATGTTATAATGTAGTGAATCCTTCCTGTAGAACTCAATCGTTATGCTGAATTATAATAGACCAGCGTGAAAATGTGTATCAATGTGAATAGGTGGTTGAGACCACAACTATCACAGAACAGTGAGAGGAGTACAAAAAGTGGTAATAGTATAGAACACATTATCTAACTTATAAGAGAACACATTGGGTAGCCAAAATATATAAATACTAATTCAATTCTCATCTAAATTATCCTTTGATTAAGGATGAAAACAACACAAACTAGCGTCTCTAGGAATAAATCATAGTGTGTATTCTACATAGAAAATGGTGCCTGACAAAACTACATAGAAGAAAACCTACAGCTCTACATTCATGAATGTATTAAAATACTAAAACAATTTAAAATGAGTGTATAGTTTCAAGAAAAATCCCAGAAATATCTAAAGATAATGGAATGTATTTGAAAAAATGAAGGCAAAATAATAAATACAATAACGAAGTCTAAACAGATGAAATAGCATAAATGGTGTTTCGTGAAGAAAACAGTGTAGAAGTTCTGGTGGAAAAAAAGAGGAGAGATAAGCATTATGGCTGAGAAATTGATATTACGACAAAATAGAGATTTTATGGTTAACATACGTACCCTTTTTACTAATAATTTTTAAAATGTAAAATGTTTATCCTTCAAAAACAGAAATCTCCAGATTTGAGTCAAGAGAAATGGGAACACTCAAGAGAGAAAAAAACTTAATAAAACAATTAGCCATTTCTAAAGATATTGCCTGATCATTTTTATAGGCAAAATTCCCAAAACTTTAAGAGTTCCTCATAACATACTTAAACATGAAAGCTTGACATTTAATTCTGTGACTCTTGCATAACCTTAATTTTAAACTTAAAGGGCAAAACAAAACTTCTGGTACCAATTATGAATATTTGTATAACATCCTAAATAAATCAGTAATTTCAATTCACAAATGTATTCAGTTAAATCTGGGTGATTGTTCAATCCAAAAAAGCTGAACCGTATTTATAATTTACACAAAGTCCAAAAAATTCTTTGAAAAAGTTTGATCCATCTGGCATAATTTTCCTTCTACATCAAAAATTTCCTTTAGCATTTATTTTATTGCAAGTATACTGCCATTATATTACTTCAGCTTTGTTTGTCAGAATAAGTATTTTATCTTAATTTTTGGAAGATACTTTCTGGGTACAGGATTCTAGGTTAACAGAATATATAAATATATACATATATTTTTTTTCTGGAGAACCCTAATATATACAGGCTGTGAACATCTCTGGGGAACATTATCCTGCCTACTGCATGCTGCCAATTTTGCAAAGTGGCTCTGCCATTTTGTATTCCTATTAGCAAAGTATGAGACTTCTGTTGGGTCCATCCACATCCTTATCAACAATTGGTATTGTGATTCATTTCAATTTTAACTATTTTATTGGGCATATAGTAGAATCACATTGTGATTTTATTTTGCATTTCTCTGAGAAGTATGGACTTTTGGCATCTTTTCCTATGCTATTTGTTAGCCATTGAAATATACTCTTTCGTGGAGTGTCTGTTCAAGCTTCTTGCCTATTTTTATTTGGTTGTTTGTCACTATTTCCTATTGATTTGTAGAAGAGCTCTTTTTATATTTATGATATAAGTCCATAATGTATTACAAAGACTTTTCCAAGTCTGCAGCTTATCTTTTCACTCTCTTCTTTGTGTCTTGACGAACATTTCTTTAATGAAATCCTAATTACTTTTTCTTTTATGGTTTGTATGTTTTGTGTCCTGTTTAATAAACCTTTGCCTATTCTAGCAACATGGATTCTTTTTTATATGTTCTTCTAAAGTTATATTAATATTTACATTTAGGCCTAATGACCATTTTGTCAAAGAAAATCTTGTGTCAATTTTGTGTACTATGTAAGGTAAGGATAAGGTTCTTTTTTCCTTGTGTATGTCTAATTGTTCCAGCACCATTTACTGAAAAGACTATCCTTTCTCCACTGAACTGATGTGGAAATTTTTTCTAAATAAAGTTACTATCTTTTGATTTTCAGTTGTAGTCTGTCGTGTGTGTGTGTGTGTGTGTGTGTGTGTGTGTGTGTGTGTGTGTGCGCGCGCGCGCGCGCAACATCACTGTTCGGATTACCATAGCTGTGGTAGGTAGAATTCTAAGAAGTCCCCTTGTGATCTACACTTTCTGTTGTTACTGCTGTGATTATGTTACAATGCATGGCAAGAGAGATTTCATGGATATAATTAAGCGGACTAATCAGAGACCTTAAGATAGAGAGTTTATTTAGACTGGCCTAAACTAAATCTAACATGAGCTGACTGGTAGTTAAAAAAGGAAGTCAGAGAGATGTATTCTAGCTGGACTGAAAAAAGCAAACACACATGCTGTGAACTGCCATTTGGAAAATACCTGAGAGTGTTCCCCAGCTGACAGCCAGCAAGGAAACAGGGACTTCAGTCCTACAACACAAGGAACTGAAATCTGCCAACCAGAATAAGCTTGGAAGTAGATTTTTCTTCAGATCCGCTAAATGAGAACTCAGGCCAGCTAACATCTTGATTAAGCCTATGACACCAATTTCTGACCTACAGAACCGTGAGCTAATAAATGGGTGTTGTTTCAAGGTGCTACGTTTTTATTAACTTGTTATGCAATAATAGAAAACAAATAGATCTTGATACCAGAGGTGAGGTGCTGCTGTAGCATGTGCCATGTCCAAAACCCAAGGGGATGCCTTTATCTAGTGGCCACATCTTTTTGCCAGAGGCTCCAGTCTGCATAACTTGGTTGCTGCCACTTCAAGCTCAAAAGGCTTGTTAGGGCTGACTGGCCAGAATGGAAAGGTGGTCTGTACAGCTTGTTGGATAGTTTCTAGGGCCTGTTGTTGGACAATATCCCTTTTGATTGATCTTATGTTCAGTAGGAGCCTCATGTGAGGTATGAAATGCCTCCAGGACCCAAACAAGTCTATCAGATGTTGGGCCTCATTTTTGTTTGCTGGAGCTTTTAAGGCCAACAGCTTTTCTTTTAAAAGCTCAAAGCTTTTCCTCTGGGCATCAGCCCACAAGATTCCAAAGACTGTTATTTCAGTGCTTAGCCCCTGTACCTTACTGGGATGTTAACCTTCCAGCCCTGGTTCAGATATTTACTCATCTTCTGAAAGGCAGTTGATATGCTGTCCTTAGCCCTTCCAATCAGAATAGTGCCATCAGCATAATGGTACCAGGACACCTCTGGTAATATTTCAGCTTTTTTAGGTCTCAGCGTATTCACTAGTGATGAACTGTGAAGAGTTTAAGCAGCCTGTGGTAACATGATACAATAAAGGTAACTAGAACCTTGAGAAGGCAAATCAGTATTGATCTTCAGAATGCAGCAGGATGCTGAGAGGGCATTAGCAATGTCCACCAACCACTGCCAGACAGACACCTTCAGTCTGCATTATGACTCTGTGGTTGTTAATACTGGAACTGCATGTTGACAGAGACTACTGCCACACTGAGCTTGTGGTAGTCCACAGTCCAGTGCCAAATAACATGGTCTTTTTCAAAAGCCACTGAGGGCTCTTATATGACAATAGTTTCTTTAAGCACCTCTACCTCCACTAGCTCCTTGATCAGTATAGTGATTTCTAACCTCTTCCATTTCCTGTCTCCTTCCCAGTATCCTATAATGCTTCACAATAACTACATGACTACATTGGAGAAGTCTAGTAGGCTCCAGCTTCTGTACTTGTGCTACTACCACTGTTCTAATCATGGCACTTCCCCACTGGGAGCATCCCTTATGACTGAGAACTATTACCTATAATTAACACATGCGTTTCCACAACAGATTCAGCAGTATCGGTTACAACCACTTGAGTGGGTACTGTGCCAAAAGAGCCCACCTATAAAGTTTTGTCCAATCTCAGGATTATTTCCAAATCCAGTTCAAGTAATTTTTTTGATCATGTCCAAAGGTGCTTCCTGGCACCACAATAACTTCTGTCCCAATGTCCAAAAGGGCTTAAAATGTTTGGCAACCTTGGTCACTGTCAAGTCCCACATATACCTTGATCAGTAATGTGGCCTTAGGTCCCTCTTAGAGAAGGATGGACCTTTGCCTTTACTCCAGTCCTATTTGTTCTTCAAGCGGGTAAGGAAAGAGAGGCACTATTTAAGGCACTGCATCAACATCAATCCAAACAGCACAGACCTACAAGAGGATCTAGATTCTTTTGGTCCTCTTCCTCTTTGTCTGCAATAAATGCTAAAGCTGGCTGGGTACCTTCCCCTGTTACAGAAGTTATACAAAAGGACACATCAGGGAAATTCAAATTAAAACCACCATGCACCCACCAGAAAGATTAAAAGGAAACACATACATTAAGTGTATGTTAGGATGCAAAGCAACTGGAACTATAATAGATAGCTGCAAATGGAAAACCATTTTGCAAAATTGTTCAGCAATGTATGCTATAAACATATGCATAACCTATGACCCAGCAATTGCCCTTCAAAGTATGGTTGAAACCAAGATGCACACATATACACAGCAAAAGACACAAAGGAGACTGTTCAAGAGCACTATTCCTAGTAGCCTCATTCTGAAAAACAAGCCAAATACCATCAACAGTAAGAATAAATGAACTTTATTGATTAATCTCACAAACAAAATATTTAGCAAAAGAAGTCAAAGGGGGAAAAAACGTACACAAAATACGATTCTATTTATGTAAAGTTCAAAATCTGTCAAAACTATTCTGTGCTGTGATAGTCATGTGATAGATATCTTTACAGGAGACTGGCAGGGGAGTTTTGAGGTGCTAGTTACACGGGTTTTAGCTATTTATGAAAATTCATTCAGCTTTAATCTAATGATTTGGATGTTATATTCAAAATCTGTGCTTTAAACACTTACTTTTTTTAACCGTAAAAACAGCAGCATAACCACACCCCGAGGTCACAAACGGAAGCAAAGGCACTCACACCAGCAGTAAAGGGTCACTAGGGTCTCTCCCTATGCCCTCCTCCCACACAGGCCTGCGACTCAGTGTCGGCGTTCACCTTGGCAGTGCCTAAACTGGGGCTGAGAGATCCCGCATCTCCTAGGATACACTACACGTCCCAGAAGTCCCCGCGGCGGAAATCAGCTTCCGGCTAGAACGCGAGCGAGGACGCCGCAGGGCACGGCCGGGACGGCGGCCCGGCGGAGTGATGAGCCGCAGTCGGCGGACGAGTCGCAGGTCGCGGCTGGTACCTCCGAGAAATTACCGTGCTGAAGTGTGCTCAGGGGGCTCGGATTGCCGTTTCTCTCCGGTGTTTTGGTCCTGGACTACAATTTCCAGAAGTCTGCGGGTGTAACGTCAGTTCCCCTCGAGGTTGTCAGCCCTGCTGTGCTGGAACGAGTTGAGCGGCGCAGCGGCGGGGGGATCGCGGATTGTTAGGTGGACTGCCGGTGGACTGCCGGAGAAGCTGAGGGTGAGGCGTCGTCTGAGCCCCGGGTCGGAGACCGGCCGTGTCTGGCGCCTAGTCTTAGCGCGCGCGTGCGTGCGCGTGTGTGTGTGTGTGTGTGTGGGTAAAAGTAAGTGATGTCCCTGTAAGGCGGCACGATTTTGTGTGTGACCACTTGAGAGAGTGATCATTGTGAGAACGGTTGTGTGAAGCTGCGCGAACGGCTAGGTGAAGAAACTTGTCAGCAAGTCGCAGACGTGATCTCAGAATGAGAATTTTAGGGTCGGAAATGGCCGTAAGCTCGGGGGGGTTGAAATGAGCGGCAGAAAACCCCCCGAGGTGGTGAGATTCCAATCTCTCCCCTCAGGAGCCCGCCTGGGGTTATTCTTGTGGGAGGAGAGCATCATATTGCCAGTCGGCTGAGTGTCTACTAACCGGGGTGGGATGGAGGGGGTGGGGAGGGTAGATGTTTGTTTCTAACGGATATATCTGGGCTCAAAGAAAGGCTTGAAGTCTCAAGATTCTTTAACTCTTTTTATTTTAAAACACATTTTATTATTTATTTATTTTTAAATGGAGGTACTGAATTGAACCTAGGACCTCAGACATGCTAAGCATAAACTCTACCCCTGAGCTATGTCCTCCCCTCAAGAGTCTTTAACTCTACCAATTTCTTTTACACAGGTGACCAGAGAACAGGGGAAGAGTAGCTGTTGGACAACTAAGAGCTTTATCCAAGGTGAGTTGTTACTCTTTTTTGTCTCTGAAGTGCTTTCTGGTTTTTCAGGATTTATCTTCCTGCCTCTTGAAAATCCATAGCTAGGGTCCGTTAGTGATCTGGTTCTTGGACCTTCATATTCCGCAGAATAATGGGGCGCTAGAGGAATGGACTCAAAGGAGCTGTTCCACTCCATTTCTCTCCTCTTAACCTGAGGTACACATATGCATCTGCCAGGTATTTTAATTCCACCTGTATACCTACTCTTTTTCTAAGGTTTTTGAAGTAATAGCATAAATCTCACAGAGTGAAATTTGAAGCCTTGATTTTATTTTAGTATTTTCTTCTCAATTTTATTTTTAAAATGATGATACTCTAAGTATTTAAAAGGTTCAAAAGAGTACTCGGCGAATTCTCCCTCCCAGCCCTGCCCCTAGTCATGTAGTTTTCCAACTTCAGAGGCAACCTGTGTGACTAGTTTCTTGAGTACTTCCAGGGGGATTCTGTACATGTATTAGTACATGAAGGGCTTATTCTTTTTTTATAGCTGAACTGTATTCCATACTTTTATAATTTTAAAAACTGACCCTTATTAATTAACTTTCAGATGACTATCAGTCTCTTCCTATTATAAACAGTGGTGGGATAAATATCCTTGTATAGATGCTTATTTCATGAGTTTATCAGTAGGATGAATACTAGTTTCTGGGCCAACTTAAGTGTGGACTTTAAATTTTAATAGTTCTTGCTATATTGCCCCTCAGAGAGGCTGTATTATCACTTTTCTAATCAATATTTTCAGATTTTGTGTTTCATTCAAGGTACTCTGCTAGCTGTTGGAAAGCTTTAGAAAATTATTGTTATTGTAGAGGTTTTCAGACTATG